AAGTTGACGTTACAGAACCGCCATCGCACTTCGATAGGCAATATAAATACCATACCTAAGGATAACGTTCGCTTTAGAAAGAAGAGTTTTTTTTTCAGTCTAATCTATGAGATAAGGTTTGTACACATTTTCGCGGACGTTCTGTCTTTTCCTTTCTTTATGAGAGTTTTTTCCTTTCATTTTTTTGTGCATAGAAATTTCTTTCGCGCCAATATTGCACTGAGATCTCATCTATTCAGAACACAGTATTACCACCTAAATCTTTTCGAGTTTTTCTTCTCATATTTCGTTTTATTTATTTCTGACGTCTGTGCGAGTTTTTCCCTTTGTATATATTTGTTGCTTTGAACAGTTTTGCTCATGCGCAAAACATGACGAGAATTCTGCACGTCAGCGCATATAAACAAGTATTACTAATAACATACGTAATTCTACACATCCATATTCTTGTGTAAAAAATATCAGAAGGATACAGTTGCCTGCTTGTATATATATATATATATATATATGCAAATATATTCAAATGTATGGAAGTTATGTGGTTGTATATCTGTATGTGTGTACTGAGTCCATTCTAGTGCAATGCCAAATACTGATGAACAGAATTACTATAGATTATTAATGTGTGAAATTATACAAAAGCAAGTTAATATATATATATATATATATATATATATATATATATATATATATATATATATCATTTTACTTTACGACTGAGTTTAATGTTCGCGTATCAACCGCCAGTCAAGGTAAAATTAATCTGCATAATAGTAATTTATCTAACCCTGAAGAGCGGTATATACAGGAAAGTTAAATTTGGTCGTAAAGTGAAGTCTTTTATACTTTTCTACATCTGCTATCTATTGTCACATGAGTTTCCTTCAAGAGCTTCTTTCATTACAAAAATCAGCTCGTCTTTACTAGAATTTGTGGTTAAATTCTCGTAATTTTAGGTTTTTTCTTAGGCGTTGAATGATTCGTTTTTTCTCTATCTATTTTTCTCTTTTTCTCTCTCTCTCTTTCTCTCTCTCTCTCTATCACTATTTCTCTCTCGCTCACTATTTCTCTATATCTATCTATTTCTCTCTCTCACTATCAATTTCTCTCACGCTCACTATTTCTCTCACACTATCTCATTATTTCTTTTTGTTGCTTTCATTATCTCTCTCTCACTATCTCTCACACTGCCTCTCACACTCACACTCACTCTGTCTCTCTGTCTGTCTGTCTCTCCCTCTCTCTCTTTCTCTCTCTCTCTATATATATATCTATCTATATATATATGTATATATATATACAAAATGAATGTCAACTTGGAAAGCTTCTGCGTAATGCGTTTCGTCCTCTAAAAAGCCTTCATCGGAATAAAGTAAACTCATTCATGGAATTATATGTGCGAGGAGGGGAGGGATAAATGTAAAGTAAGAGAACGAAACATTATACACAGAAATTTCTTATTTTCATTCAGTTGCCTGACATTGTTCTGAAATATAGAACTTTAATTAGTGGGTGGAAACAAATATTCGTACACATACAGAATTTTAATTTATTGTATTTCCAATTATTTAATAAACATAATTTTCATATAATTAACTCTACCCATATCCATAATAACTACATATACATAGAAAACCGGAAAAATTTTGATTTAATAGAAATAACTCCCATTTATTTATTTTAATGGGTGAAAAATATATTTGTATAATGCAAATTTCAGATTTTAAAACATTTAAATTGCTTTAATACTCTAGATTATTCAAGTGGAATATTCTAGAATGTTTTAATAATGTTATCTAGTTATTTTTAGACTAAAAAAATACAAAAAGAATATTCTGTAATTGAGATTCGTGCAAGAAGGTTATCATCATGGCAAAAGGTAAAGAATTGACAAATTCGCAAAAACAACTGATTGTTAAGCCATGGAAAGCAAGGAAATGTTACAGAAAAATCTCAGACAACCTGAATATTCCATTTGCTACAATTAGTTCATTCATTTCAAGCTATACAAAATTGAAAACTGTTGAAGATTACTCGTCAATATTTGCAGAATGATTTACTTTCATCTGTGCCACTAAACAGAAAATAAGCAATGAAATTCATAGGAACAATCTACAGTCACTCCCGCCTCGGAAAACTCTACTTCTTTTGAAAGCACACAGAGATGCCAAGTTGAAATTCGTTCGTGAACATAAGGATAAGATAAAATCGTACTGGGAAAGAGTATTATGGATGGACGAAACCAAAATTGAGTTGTTTGGACATAATCCTAGAAATTATGTATACAGGAAGGATGGCGATACCTTCAAACAAAAGAACATAGTTCCAACATTGAAATTTGGTGGTGGATGCATCATCGTTTGGGGATTTTTTCCTGCAAAAGGTACTGGCAACACAGTGGTAATAGATTGTAGAGTGAATGCCGCGGCATATCAAAATATTTTGAAAGGAAATTTAATGATTTCGGTTGAAAATCTTGAACTTCCTCCTGATTAGATCTTATAACAAGATAATGATCCTAAGCACACTGCAAAATCTACGATGAAATGGCTCGCTGAAAATAGTGTAAATATCCTGAAATGGGCAAGTCAGTCCACAGATTTAAACCCAATCGCGAATCTGTGGCATTATTTGAAAATTCAGATCCAATCGAGAGCTTCAACAAACATCCCGGATCCGAAGACCATATGCGAAGAAGAATGGAGCAAAATACCAACTAAAATGTGCAAACCATTAATTGAGAACAAGAAGAGGTTGGGTGCTGTAGAACTGAATAATGGCTATTCTACAAAGTATTAAATGTAGATTATGTATTCTTTTTTGTATTGTACGAATACTTTTCTCATCCATTAAAATGGATAAATGGAATCTATTTCTATTAGATAAATCTTTCTTGCTTTCTATGCATATTTAATTATGCATCTGTGTACAGTTAATGATATGAAAAGTATGTTTATTACTTATGTTTAAAATACAATATATTAAAAATGTGTATGCGCACGGATATTTGTTTCTCCCCACTGTATATTTGTGTGCATTTAATAAGCGTTGTTTACGAGAAGGCCATTAGTATTAGCAAACCTGTTAAAACTTGACTTATTATATATTATTAATGACGCCGTAAAATATCGACCCTCAAGTTAATAACAATATAGATATCGCATATGCAAATGTAATTTTGAAAATCTTTGAATAGTTATAATAGAATAGAATAAACGTGAAAAAGAAATCGGAACGACAAAACAAATGGCCACTTTTAGATAATCGGGATTTTGTATTGACCATGTTCACCATAGTCTATGAATATAGAATACAGCGCAGTACGTAATCTGTTCAATGAAACAACGTTAAAGATTAACACTCACCAGCAGCGGTTCAGTAATTCTTCAGTCTTCGATATCAGAGGTTGGCAGTGAATATTCGGGGAAAAACAAAAAACAAAAACATGGCCGCCTTTATACACGTCGCATTAAATATTCTAAGCCTTCTGATTGGTTAACCCTTCTATTGATGAACTATAAAATGAGTCAGCTCATTTTGGCTGGCTCACTAGTACCGGCCTACCCAAAAATTCCAACATTTTTGTTGCGAGCATTTTGGATGCTGTATCATTATAAATATGAGATAAACTTTTGTCAGTTAAAATTGCATCAGTACAATTTCAAGCTTAGCGAATCTTACAGTTCATTAAACAAATATGTATTGTCTAATTTGTGTAACAACCAAATTTAACCTTATAAATAGCGGTTGCATATAGGTATAATTATTTCTTATTCATCGATTTGTTTTCATAAATGTTTGAATTATGTAGAAATTATCTATTTTGTTTCCATTGTAGGAATTCTTATTTCTGATAACCATCCTACCACTTTGACCTTTGATGAAAATTTCCTTTTTTTTGGCAAGATGTTCTGATGCTTTTATATGTCTATGTTGTAACGTTGTTTACTCTTGAAGTAGCAGTGATTAGTCCCTGAATAAAACGTTTATTAAAATACATTGCCACCGGAATTAAAAAGGTGACCTTGTCGACACAATATTTAAGACATCTAGACATAAAGATACATTCTGGTGATGCGTCGCCTATGTCTAAAAGTTCGTCTTTTCTTAAATGTAATTTTTTGTGGTGGGGGTGTAGAAAGGATATCAGCAGTCCCCCACAACGGAAATATACAAATTACAAACAAATCATGAACAAGATACAACAAAATAAACAAAAATGCATTTAAGAGAAAAATTGTATATTTTAAAAAACATTATCTTATGATGACCCATTGTTCTGTCAGAGAGCTCTCTCTGGGGTGAGAGAGAGAGAGAGAGAGAGAGAGAGAGAGAGAGAGAGCGAGAGAGAGAGAGAGAGAGAGAGAGAAGACGTGTTTCAGGAGAAAGCGAGGTGCGAGGTTTCAGGAGAAAGAGTGAGACCTGCCGTGTTTCAGAAGAAAGAGACTCATCGTGATTCAGGAGAAAGAGAGAGACGCATCGAATTTCAAGAGAAAGATAGACACTCGACGTGTTTCAGAAGAAAGCGAGATGCTCTTTGTGTTTCTGGAAAAAGAAACGGAGAGATACCTTTCGTGTTTCAGGAGAAAGAGAGAGACTTTTCCTGTTTCAGGAGAAAGAGAGAGACTTGTCCTGTTTCAGGAGAAAGAGAGAGACTTGGCTTCTTTCAGGAGAAAGAGAGAGACTTGTCCTGTTTCAGGCGAAAGAGGGAGACTTGGCTTCTTTCAGGAGAAAGAGAGAGACTTGTCGTGTTTTAGGAGAAAGAGGGAGACACGTGTTTCAGGAGAAAGAGAGAGACTTGGCCTCTTTCAGGAGAAAGAGAGAGACTTGTGTTTTAGGAGAAAGAGGGAGACACGTGTTTCAAGAGAAAGAGGGAGACTTGGCCTGTTTCAGGAGAAAGAGAGAGAATCGTCGTGTTTTCGGGGAAAGAGAGAGACTCGTCGTGTTTTCGGGGAAAGAGAGAGACTCGTCGTGTTTCAGGAGAAAGAGGAAGACTTAGGCTGTTTCAGGAGAAAGAGAGGGACTCTTCTTGTCATTGAAGAAAAGACGGCACCAGCTTCGACGTTAAAAGAATTACTGGCGTTAAGAAAAACTCACATGCCACCTGTTCTTAATTTTTAACTTTTAAGTTATTCTCATTATTTACAAAACCTCGAACAACGACATGCGTAAAGTTTATAATGATAAATGTTTTGTTTTTATTCGTCCATTTAAAAGTTGTTTTATGAAAATGTCATTTAACTTTTACTATTAAATTGACAATGACCAATCATCTTCAGTTTCAGAATACTCTACGATTTTTCAATTGGGTTAAGTTGTAGTAAAAAAAAGACCGTTACTTCATCTAATAAATGGATTTGAAAGACTGATTTTATTAGGATAATCATAAGAAAAAAATCATTCATATTTTTGAAAAGTGTCTAGATTCTTCTTGAGCCATAACTCAAGGTGTGCTTTCAAAACTCAATGTAAGGCTGAGTTGTCATCTGGATATTACCATAGGGTCATCACTTTGTCCTTTATAATTAAATTCAACCTTTTATCAATTAAATCCAGCAAGTGTAGCTCAACATCGTCTCTAAAAGGAAACTTTGAAAATAGGTATTTTATTCGCTTTCCTTATGGATGTCTTTTAATATTCTGCCATTTATTTTATGACTCGATATCTTATAGTTTCTGACTTTTTCTCGCATAATTAGTTTGTAGGTTAACAAAGACGAACGTGTTGTATCTTCTATTTTGAAACAAGTCAGAAAATGACAAAGTAAATTCTCCAGCTTTCAACAAATAGATCTGCAGCAGACTTGTACAATGTTTTTTTTTGTATGTATTAGTATTGTTTTACCTTTTGCAAGTTATTTAAGAACATTGTCTTTGTCTATAAAGTCAGCCTTTTTTCTTTTACTTCTATGTGCGGTGTAAGATGTTGTCTACCAAATTTCCTGTCGAAAACTCTTAATAAATTTTGTCTTTTTGTTATTTCTCTTTAATGTTGTTTTCCCATTCATTAACTCAAGCTCTCTAGGCAGGTTATGCGTTGTTTTACGCTGTCTCTTTTACCTTCAATCTTTCCTTTGAGAATTACATTTTACAAGTCCTCTTTATCTTCTAATCCCTGTTCTTCTAACCACAGGCTCGTTAGGTATGTGATTCGCTATAATTCTCAGTTTCTCTTGCCGTCAATATGTCCTATCTGTTTCGAATTCTCCAAGCCCTTTTTCATCATTATGTTCCCCAAGCTCAAGCCCAAGCATTCACTGCCATATAGGAGGACCGATATTACATAACAGTTCGGTAGTATTTTCCTTGCTTCTAACAAAATTTTCCTGTTTTTTAATACTTTTCTTGGCTTCTGGAAAGCATTTTTCGTTATTTTTATGCCTCTTTGGAGTGCGTTAACGTATTTCCCGTAGTCTATGATAACACTTCATAGATATTTAAATTTTTGTTCTTGTTTTATTTTGGTGTCTCCACTTTGTCGTTCGTATCTTGGTCTGTTCCTTTTGTTGACAAGCATATTCTTAAAATTGATGCTTAGTACTTTCTTCTCTCTTTCCTCTGGGAGATTTTTGTAGTTTTCTTTCTGTGTCTGCTATCAACACTGTATCATCTGCATACCTTATGTTGTTAAGATTGTGGCCGCCAATAATGAGTAAGACTATTAATTCCTTCAGGATCGCCTGGCTGTAAAGGTTAACAATTTTAAATTATCTGTATTTGAAGATGAACCGATATCTTTTGTTTTTGCTTAATTCTTTCTACAAATTTTTACTGATGTTTACCATATTTTTCTCAGTTGAATACAATTCGACATTTAGAATAACGTAGAAATAAATAATCCTTATTTTGGCATCCATTTAAACAAGCTCGTTATGCGCTACTTCGCTCTGTCTCTCTTAAATTCAATGTCCTGTGATTGTTAAATTCTCCAAGACCCCTTTCCTCATTAATGTGCTCTAGAAATGTCAACTCTGTCTTTCTGATACTAAGTATGTGTCATTTTGTTTCTATTTTCTATAAAACTTCGTTGTTGTTCACATGTTCAGTCCAAGAGATTCACAGCATCCTTCTGTAGAACCACAACATTTGTAATCTCGGGTCTCTTTTCATCTGTAAGGAGATTGTCCAGTATTCACTGTCATATAGGATTATCGATTTTACACAGCAGTTCAGTACTCATTTTTTTTTGTTTCTAACGAATTTTTCATGTTTCTTAATACTTTGCTTAATTTTTAGAAGGCATCTTTCACTATTCGGATTTCGAATGTCACATATTCTGTTTTCTTTAAAAAAAAACTTCCTAGATTTTTATATTTTTTTACTTACTTGATTTTAGTGTATTCTATTCGTAGTTCGCATCAGGGGTTGTTCCTTCTGCTGACAACAAATAAATTCTGTCTTACAATTGATGCTTAGTCCCTTCTTCTCGCTTTCCTTTACTACCTTCTCAATGATTTCTTGTACTTATTGTAAGTACATTACATAAACACTCTTAATTATTGGCGTCACCCCCCCCCCCAAAAAAAAATAAACGTGACAACCATTACTTTGAAATTCTTTGATTAGGTATTCGATAATTTTACCCTTACACAAAGCCAGTTGTATAAAATTCTGAAGTAAATAAAATTTCCAAAGATCATACGGTTTATCAAATATTAGAAATTTCTTCTCTGTGCTGTGTTCCTTTATTAAGTTGGCGATCATGGCTCTCCACAATTTTCTTTCTTTGTAGCTCTTATTAAATGTTTTCTTTGTGGTAGCTCTCCTAAACATTGTTCTGCCACCCATTTACTTAAGCTTGCTCGGTAGCTTATGCATTGTTATTCTCTGTCTGGCCTTCAGACTGTCCTGTGAGTATGACATTTTCCAATCCCTCTTTCCTCATTAGGTATCCTAGAAATGGCATCTGTCTCTTTCTGATTTAAAAACTAGGATATTTCGCACAAAAGTCTGCTGCAGAGAACAATCCTGAATACGCAGATAGATTTTGCTAACATTTAAATAAAACTTTAAATTCCAATAAGTATTTTAGATAGTGAAAAAATATGAAGTGTCTAATAATGTGAAATGCAGTTTAAGTATGTATAAAACAGACGCAACCATATGAATATTTACGTAAAAGTACAGTGTTATACATTATATATATATATATATATATATATATATATATATATATATATATATATATATATATATATATATATATAGTGTCTCAGAATATACAGCCATATATATATATACATACACACCTATTTACTTGCATATGTTTTTATATTTTTAGATTACCTGTCTTTGTATTTTATATAAGCTTAATATCCAATATAGAATTTTGAAAAGAAGGAAGGGGAACGGAATTCAACAAGCGCCATATTTTTGATAACCAGACACTTCTTATAAAAACATCAGTGTAATTATATCGTTCACAGAAACTTTTTAAGGAAACCTATTTTTTCGTTATTTTCTCTAAAGTTATTTTCGTGCATCCATACAATAAAAAGAATAGAATAGAATTTGTCAAACAGTTGAAATTTTTAAAAAAATAACCAAAAAAAAAAAAAAACAAAAAAAAAACACCAAACATCGGAAATCAAATTCTTTAGAATTCTTCAAAATATCCCACATTTAATAGTGAGACTGGACGCCTTCTCTCGAACGGTAATTAGCAATCTATTGTATCGTTCATACTCGTTGTACTCGGCAGATAACCCTTTACAATTACAGCCTTGTGCCAGACTGGAATGTATGAGGAAAGAGGATAATATCAGATAAATGTTCGTGCCTGATTTTCATCGTTAATATAAAATTACCACAACTTGAAACTGGTGTTTGTTTTGCTGCAGATTCGGGTGTGTGTTGCTAGTTCGACTTTGGTGACTGCGACAAAATAAAACCTTCACAGGGTGTCTGCGGATCATACTCCAGTTCTTCAGGAGGTTTGGCAGATTTCGGTAGGTTGATTTTTAACCTAAACGATCACCCACGCTCCGGGGAACCTTCCGATATCGATGAAGACGCTCTGCTTGCCATTGTGGAGAATAAACTGAAGATTTCTGCAGAAGAGATTGCTAAGAGTTTGATATCTCAACTGTTCGCCATTTGAAGAGATTTGGGTTTAGGATAAACGTCCAATTTTGCCAAATGGAAAAGGTGCCATTTTTCCACCACGACTGCACAAGAGATCATGTCTCAAAACAGACTTTGTAGAATCTTAAATGATTGAATTGGGAAACCCTCCTTCATCTACCGTATTCTCCAGACTTAATTCCTTCGGATATTTCATTTGTGCTGGTCTCTACGGAACAATTTAAACGACAAAATAATTGACTCTTGATTGAGTCGAAAACTACCTCAAAATCTTCTTCCAAACTCGAAGTTTCTACGAAGATGACACCATCAAGCACGAAGAACGATGGGAGACCGTTAATAAAAAAAACAATATAGAGTAATTAATGTTTCTTTGTGGGTATGTAAATCATTTTTAATTGTTTAACTGGGCACCAACTTTTTCAATCTATATACTAAATGCGAATGTCAGTGTGTCACACTGTCACATTTTTTCAATTAAAGGGACACAACTCTCTAACTTACAATAACTTATGTTACAGAGGTTTTTGATTCCCAAGTTTTCATTACTGCAATTATTTTCGGCGATTTTTTACATGATTTTTGGCAACGAATTTTGGGAATAGCTGAAATTAATTGCGAATTCCAGCGAAAGTCACCCATGAAATAAAAATGGTTGTATGGATAGTAAGGACCTACGCACATCAAATTGTCTTTAAATTAAGTGGCAGCAGAAGAATTATCGTTGAACTTTTAAAAGCTAAGCTTAAATATTAATGCAATACATAAATGCAGCGATCAATTTTGAGTTCTTCTGTATTTTAGTGCTGCCTATCGCATATGGCAGCAGTGAGTCTCGTATAAACAAATCTCCACCCACAGAGGACCAGATTGCAATCAAATGAGCCAAGACTGCAGCCAAGAAAAAGTCCCATGC